AGAGAGAGAGAGAGAGAGAGAGAGAGAGAGAGATACTGTATTCATCCCTCAAGGGGAAATTAGTTTGTTACAGCAGCAAAAAATATACCTAAGCAATTAAAGTAACAGAGTAAAAAATAAAAACATTAAGTACAAAGTATAAAAATGCACAGTATATACAATGAAATAGTATGGTATTATTAACTAAACTAAACTAACCAGTAGTGCAAAGATTAACCACAGCAAACAAACAACAGTGTAGCAGTGTTATAGTCTTGTGGATGATTTGGCCAGAGGTGATTTATTATAAAGTCTTATTGCAGTTGGCAGGAATGTTATACAACATATTATATTTGAATCTACCCAACAGATCCACTGGGTCAGCTTTCACACTGATACAGTACAACACAACGCATCCTGTACCTCTGTGATTTCTGTGGGCGAAGGTTACGATTGTGATTGTGAGTGCATGTGCTTGCTTCATATCGGCTACAATTGTGTGTCTCTGAGTGCATAATGGGCTGCATTGACAGTCAACAGCCTGCGGCTCATTTTTACCCCGGCGTGTGTCAAACCAAACTGCGTCTGCCCAAATTTGATCAATACAAAGGCCTGTTTGGCCCCCAGAAAAAGTCCCCTTCATGTTGGCTCTCTTCAGCAACAGAGAAAAAAACAAAAAACGTTGAAATCAATATTTGTTTCTATTGATCCAGTGAGGGCAAGCAAACATGTTTTCGACAAATGCCTGGATATCATGCTGGATGGAATTGCAGACGCGACTGTATATAGAACATCAATGTGGGCACACACGCCTTAAACATGACACTGACACAGTGGGACTCGCTTTCTCTCTGGGTTCAAGTCAGGTCACAGTTGAAAGGTCACAATCTCTTCAACAGAGGAGACTCATTCATTCCTCCATTCATTGAGAGTTTTGGAGGGAAGTGACCAAGGCTCATGGTAATAGTAAAATTTTGAAATAACAACGTTCCGAGAAGAAGCTTCAGAGCATCTTTATCTGTAGTAGAAACACATATTTGTTTGTGTGAGTGACCTTATTGTTAACGATATAAGCTTTAGTGGTGTGTGCAAAGTGTGTACAGCCTATTGCCTTGACTGTATATTACGTATTGAGTCTGTGTTTGATCCATCCATCTCCAATCCCACCTGCGCTGGTGTGGACTATATTGCTCTTAATACTACATCAGTTGCTCTGAGCGTCTAATAATGACGCGGGTGGGTTTACTTTGGAGTTAGCTGAAAGTGCTGTGCACCGAAGGGCACTGACCAAGTGTCTGTATTTGAAGAGTTGGGTGTAAGATCGGTTTGCATTTGTCGACCCAGTTATGTGTGCGAGAAAAGGTTAAACGTTGCATGTGATTACATAAAACAATGAAACAACCATGTGGATAAAGAAATGTATTAGATTCAAATTTGAATTCAAACAAGATGTGTGAGATGTGGCAGCTAGCAAACAGGAAGTGGAGGGTTTACAGTAAAGAGATAGAAAAAGAGGATAGACAGATCAGATCAATAAAACGCAGATGAGGGAGTCCCACGGGAAGAAGAGGGGTGCGTTGCCATCTGACCTGGTTCACTCTGGCACAACATGAACATAACTCTTTTATCCCCTCAACAGGCACACAACGAAATAAAGGATATCTGCACCGACTCACCAGCCCGAACTTTTATTGCACATAATGATGCTGGTTTGTTGAACTTGAAGTTGTTTACCAAATACACGACATAACAGGAATGCACCGCCGGCACTGCAGTACTCTCTGAACACAACATGATATCACTCTCATGCCAGTTATTGGTGTGAGTGCTCTCAGAGTAATCTAAGGGCTTCCTTGGCTCGTCATATGATGCCTCTCCTTCTAATACAATGCATTAGAAGAAAAGCTTGCTCTGTGGATCATATCTCCAGTGCTGTTTGTGCTCCTCTGTGGTTGCTGCTGCTGTATAAGTGACAGGTGGTCGGTGTTGGTAAAAAGAAAAACAATTTTCACATGTCGAAGATGGATACTTGTGTGTGCATGGTAGATAAAATCAGAAAATAGAAACATAAACAAGCATGGGAAGCTTTTCAAGACTGAGATGGATGTAGACATACGCTAACTAACAGACTTTTTTCCGCAGGACCGGTCACCAGGAACAGAATCCTTTTCTCGGAACATGAGATGGGACAGTGAATGTCTCCTGGACCACCCATCCTCTGTCCACTCCCTGTCGACAGATGGGCAGTCTGTGTGTGTGTGAGAGTGCATGTGTGTATGTGTGTGTGTGTATGCACATCTGTGTGACTGAATGAGAGTGAGTCCAGACCTTTGTCTGTGTGGCTATGGGACAAAATGGATACAGTGTTGTTTTCACATGCAGATTTACATAAAGACGTATGGATGCTCTTTTTTGTTCCTCCAGTAAACACAGACTGGTGAATGCACAAAAGCTTTCTTCCAAAAACAATGCTTGTCTGACTGTTTCAGTTCCCTATAAATTCTTATAATACTTATCTTTTTTTAATTTTTTACGAAATGTAATGTTATAGCCATCTAGAGGGCAAGGGCCATTAATCATTACTCACTCAAAATCGATCATGAAAAGGTTTCATCGAGATATAGAAGCAAGTTTTAACTCCTTCTATTTGTAGTTAGCTTTGATTTCTTTCTTAGATTTGATAAATTCCCAGAAAGTTGTTTAACTGGATTAAACTGTACAGAAAAAAAATATTCTCAAACCAAATAAACTCATGTAACCATTTGTGTCTCCTATCATAACACTTATTTCATAGCCAGAAGAGACCTATCTGTATACCTGTTGAAGTGCTTGTTTTTTTAGCTTTCTTATTCAGTGACTGTTATTGTAAGTTTAGTCTTCATGTCATCCCAGCATCAACATTTTCAAAGAGTGATGTCAGATGGAATAAACAGTGATTCTCTTTCAAAATTACATTACGTCACAAATTGTAAATTACAGGGGGCACACTGAAATTGAGATTAATCTATTTTGTCCCACATAAGTGACTCTGAAACTGATTTGATTTCTTTATGTCTGTCTGTTTCCCTCTCTCATGAATTATCTATCTACTTATAGCAACCCAGCTTCCTCTCTCCTCCTCACCCGCTGCCCCCATGTCCCCCACTGCCCTCAGTCCTTGGTCTATATAAATCACTGTCTCATCAAGATGATACACACTAGGCAGAAACGTCCTTCTTTAATGTTAAAACCTGGAGTTAAACTGGGAGTTACATTTTGTAACAGATTTTCACCTAATCATCATGAAACAATTGTAATAATTGTAAAGTAATTATATCATAATATTGACATTTTCTTTGTGGGGAATTTAAAATGAGGCCTCGACCTAAATGTCAAACCTGTGTGTAGCATGTCTGACATTGCAAACTTTATTATAAGCACATTTACTGAGCCCGCGTATGTCACCGTATCTACTTTTTCCTTTAGCATATCAAGTGTTGGGGCTGCACCGCAGTGAACTCCGTGATACTCGATAATTAATTTTGCTTGAGGGAAATTAATTGTGTGAGCACCATACACAAACATCACACTGTGACACAATCAACCGTAAAACTCGCAAACGTTGTCAATCTTTTAGATAAACACGTTCGGCAGGGTGGCATGTATAGTCATGATCTGAACTAGAGTAGAACGTGTCAGGTTCCCTGGTTTATATAAGGCGAACATTTGGCCTCAGGTGTCAGCGTAATCCAACAGTAGCTTGCCTCTTTTTATGCATAAAGGCAGCAGTGTTTCTGTGCCATCCTGTGATTCCCCTCAGTGTAACGTTAAAGAAAAAAAAATTCAGCATAACAAAGTTTGTTTTGTATATTAAATTAGGCTGTGGGATGATGAGATGAGGGATTCAAGGGTGATGATAACAACATCATACTCTGAATTAAGTCGCAAGTTTGCTGCTGCAAATATCAGTGTATGCACCTGTGTGGATCTCTCAGGTATCTGTAGGTGCATTCACTGATAGGCAGTAAAACAGGGTCAGTTCAAGGCTTCAAGGAGAATAAAAGTCACCCGAAAGAGACAACAATCTGCTGGATCTCCTTTTTTGGAGAAGTTGTTCTAGGAAGTGAAAGTTGGAGAAAAATTTAATTGACTCTTTCGTCTTGCAGCGAGACTTTGATTCAGTTGGCACGATACAGTCTGCGAAGCACTTGCTAAATAGAAGATTTACGCAAGACTTAATTTGGTGATCAACATTATTGGTGGTTGGTTTGTCCGACTCACCAAGAACATCCCAGTGCATGATTGTTAATAAAGAGAGTGCAGGTTCGTGTGTGTGTAGTGGGCGTGGAGAGTGAGATGTCTCCTTCCATGTAGCCGTTGAGCTGAGCGCGTCCGTCATATGAGCCCAGTTGGAGAAAAGCGCACCGGAGCCGAACATCCAATGGGGCAATCTCAGCGACTTTTCACACTGACTGGATCCTGCGTGCAGCCACAGCATCTGGACTGAGTGATTAACGATACACAGTCGGTAGCGAAGAGTTTCCTGGATAGTTTCTTTTAACCAAGAAGTTAACTCAAAAGAAGCGCAGCGATGACAGCTGAGTTTATTTCACCTAGAAGAGACTGAGACCCGCATCTTGCTGCGTCGCATCCAAACCGATTGTCCCTTCTGTTAGGATAACAAGGACCTACAGGATGAATTCCGCTTTCATACTAGTGTTACTTGGAGTGGTGAGTAGCCTCTAACAAAGTCTGTGTAGCCATAAACTTGGATATCACCTGCGCATACACACAGCCCTATTTACTAGATTATTAGTTATTAATACGTAGTTTAAGTTTTTTATAAACCTCTCTTCCGCAAACTTTTCTGCTTCCAGCCTTCAGCAGTCATCATGTTTTGACGTTGGGCTACAAGTTACAGGTTTTTCCCTGCATCGAAGTGAAATTTCACTGACTTTATGACAGTTTAAATTTCACCTGTGGTTTCTGCTTGTAAAAACGTCCTTGGTAAATCTTTTAGGTCTGGGAACTTTATGTCCTTGCACCTGTCCTGTCTTCAGTCCCGGGCTGACAATGTAAAGCAGAGTGGATGTATGCAGCATCCATTTAGGTTGATACTCTACAGCTCCAGTTGCTGGATCTGTAGTTCCACCCTTCTCAGTTATATGTGGCCTTGCAGATGGCAGGACAATAACAGTGTCACAGTGGCCTCTGTGAAGGAGTTCACCAATAAACCACGTGTTAATAGATGAGGTGAAATTACTGTAATTCTTCCTCCATTAGCAGAAATCAACAACAGAAATCCTGATGGAAGCTCCGGGAATTCGCATCTTATAATCTTCCCGATTTATCTCCAATTCCCTTGAGGCCATGCAGGCCCAGGAAGGAAATATATTAGTGTTTTCTATATCTGACAGGACATGGTCAGCCAGGGCTACGCAGCTTGTCAAGGTCCTAGTTATGGAATAGCCTGCATCACTGATACATGACAGCTGCTTCCACTGATGGGTATGCATCCTCTGCTGGCTCAGTGCATGCAATATTGATACAACCCGAACCATCCCCCCTCACTCTTCCTCTCCTCCTTTCACCTCACACTCACTTCCCTCTCTTCTTCTCTTTCTGTCTATCTGTCTGTCTGCTCCTTTCACTTCACAAGAGATGATGATTCAGCTTTGTTTGAGAAGGTATTAGCTGTAATGTCATTGCCAATGGTGTTCCCACAGCAGTTCAGGATCCATGGATTTAAATTAGGCCCAGCTTATTGGAAGGCTGCTATAGTGGAACTCTAATGGCTTAACAAGCGCTGACAGCTGAGGTCCGGAGGTTAAGTGCCTCCAACTGGAAATTGACTGCAGCATTAGTAAGATTGGTTGCTCTGAAGTTATGTGTCCAGATGCTTCTGCACATGCTTTTGTGTGTGCTTGTTGATGTGAGTGTGCGATCAACTTGCTCGTTGCTTTGGCTTCAGGGAGATCAGCTGACAAAAGTTGAAGCTTCCATCTAAAACACAATTACAGGAAACGGGCAGGTCGAGCTGCAACTTGCTAAGTGCATCCTTTTCCTTCATTCCACGAGCTATTTGCTCAAATCACATCACAAAACACCCTCTAATTAATCTGTTTGCATAATTTAGCAGTCATTAGTGATGCACTTTAATCTGAGTTTCAGGACTTTGAGATGCTTTGATGTTGCACCCACACCCGGAGCTAGAATAAGGTCAGAGAAACACTAAGTAGAAGCCAAAAGCTGGAACTTGGAATCCTTTCAAAAGCGTCAGGCAGACACTTTGGAGCAGGTTTGTTCACATGTGAGGCTATTTATGCGTTTGTGCAAACGTATGCGTGCCGCTGGGTGTGTACAGTATATAAGGGGGCAGTTCCCGGGGAAGAGTGTGGGATGACAGATTTGATTCATCTCTGAATGAATGCTTGTTCCGTAAGGTGTGTGTGAGGTAGAGAGTGTGTTGGGGTGAATAAATGAGAAAAGTGAAGCTCTGACGACAGACAAATATGTTGTTGTTTTTTGCTGCACTGTGTTAGAGTGTCATATCTCAAGAAACCAATTTCCGCATATTCAGTTGGTTTCTGTAAGTTTGGTATGACTAAAGAGCCTGAACAACATCGGAGGATTCATTAATTAAATTAAAGTCACAGTGAGTTACGGTCTCCGCAGGATAAGATCAATAGCGAGAGGGAGATATGACAGCTGATTTAGAAGTGCCTGAGGGGACACATGTTTTTTAGAACTCCTCACTCTTGCCAGTGGAATTCCACATATACCTGAACCTTGATTCTTGACGATTTATGTCAAGCGTACCGCCTTCACGCTAATGCACCCCTCAGTGTACACACACTCATGCACGCACACAAACACACCCACACACCTTTAAACTGTGTAGAAAACTGTAATATACTTCAAAATCTCACGTTGACTACTTTTTATGAGATATGGTAGCAAAAAAAGGTTTAAGATACAACTTGCCCTCTGATCTGCGGCTTGTCCATCAACCAGTGAGAACATCATAACATCATAAATGAAAACAATCCCTACTCATTTATCTGGAGCGAATGGAAGACAGACCTCTCCTCTGGCTCCGTGTCAGAGGGCAATCCCTGCTTTCACCAAGGTTTGCTTTGGAGACCGAGGTGTGTGGAAGTTTTAAAAAAAAGCCCCAAAAGATTAAGTATGATAAACTGCAAAAGGTCACATAGACACAGAATCCTGGAAACATCCAGGCCGGGCATGAGTGTGTAAGCGTGTATACGCACTCTCATGCATTTGCAAATGCATAGGCACGCACAAACATCTTCACATGTCAGCGGCCAAGATAAAGCACTCAACAGGTTACTGTTTGAAGAATGCAGAGAGAACATATTCCAGAGTTACCTGGTGTGAATGTGTGATTTGTTTTTTACTTTTATTACTGATATCTATGACTTTAGGTGTGGATGGGACTTTTAAAATGCGCATATTGAATGTAGTAGTAGAATTAAAGTTTGCCTTGAAGTGAGTCATACATGCGTGTAGCATCAGGTAAGAATAAGGAGTGGTGGTTTCCAAACTCTCTGCTTTGCGACCCTTTAAAATTGAGCAATGTGTCTTCGCAACCTTAAATCACAGGTCCCATGAGTCTACGAGTTGTAAGAAGTTCAACTAAAGAGTGATTTTTCCTCCTTAGAATGTGTCATTTATACTTTTAAAAAAGTATATAAAAGCTATTTAGTATCTCACAAGAACATAGAAAAAACAGAGAGAACCCAGAACAATGGAGAGTTTGGTGTCGCTGAAATCTGCATTTTGGTTTTCCCCATCCCATTAATCATCTCATCATCTCACATCCCCTTAGATTAACCTTGCAGCCTGTTGGCCAGTCCTGACGCCTACGCTTGGAACCACTGGTTTAGTGGTTCCGAAATAAATCTTAAAGGAATCCTAGATGATTAAAGACAGTCTTTCTTTCTATTGCTTTTTCTTGTGAAATACTGGATGTTTATTCCTCTTTAAGGCCTCACATTGCACAATGCTAGACCTTCATTTTTTTGTGTTCATGTTCTACTAATCTTATGGATGCTGCTGAATGTAGATGTTGCTTTGCTTCTCCCACTTTGAATGATGATTTAATCTCTGGTGATTGGCAGGTTGGGGCTGTGGCCAATAAGGAGGATTGTTTGTCGGGTCAGTATACAACCGGTGGAGAATGCTGTGCACAGTGCCAGCCCGGCGAGGGCGTCTTCAAACCATGTGGAGTCACACAGACTGTCTGCTTCCCCTGCCTTGACAGTGAGTATCACAAAAGTCATATATATATACACACACACACTCAATGTTTCCGCAAAGTTTGAATTAAGATTCAAAATCATCCTGTGGGCCGATAAATCTGGACATTAAGATGGGTTTCTGTAGTTTTTGTCAAAACAATCTTGTTTTAGTATGATATCAATATTAAGTTACTATAGCATTTTCTTTTGTATAGTGCTAGGGGTTGTATTGGTGATAGTTAGCTCTTTATTGATCCCACTCTTGGACAGAATTGAATGTTAAATGAAGTAACTCAGACAAATTCAGGAACATAAAGAAGACTGGTTTATAGCCAGGGTAGCGATTCAGTGAGGCCTTTACTACTGCGGCGCGATAAGCTAAATGCTATATGCTATCCATTGCAAGTCGGAAGTCGACAATTTGAGTTGTTTTGGTCACAAACCAAAGTATTGTAGAAATAAAAATGTTGACCTGATGATGGTGCTAAATAAAAATTGTAAGGGATCACCAAAGTCCTACGGATACATCGTCTCAATTGATGCCAAACATTTTGCGTGCTGGTGGAGCTCGATGGAAAGTTCGGAGGATCAGCAAAGTCATTTTGATTCATCCTCAGGGGGCCATGGATAGCTTTACCAACTTTGATTGCCATCCATGAGAGATTTGTCTAGATATTTCAGTCTGGACTGACTGACTAACATTGCCCCTAGTGTGGCTAAAGACAGAACACAGTTTTTTCGATTAGCCGACATCATAGATCTGAACATCAGTTTGGACTAATTATTATGCATAAATGTAAAATCTTAGACTTATTCAGTTGCGTGTCAGGAATCAAACTCACTGTGTTCCAGCATAACTGTCCTTTTCATGGCCCTCACCATGTAGGGAGAGAAGCTGTGCCGGACCGTAAGACTTTATGAGGACAGCGATGTTAAGAGGATACAAGAGTGGGATCAGCTCCAAATGTTGTTTCAGGGGAAGATATTTAAAGCATCAGACAAGTTATGTCACAGTGATTAAGATGGTAAGCAGTGTAGATTTAGATTTTTTTAAACATGACTGACTGGTGATTGAAGAGCTCAAAGGGATATTTAAGGATCCTCTGTACCTTTCTGCTTGAGTGAAGGGAAAATAAATCAACATTTCTAAGGTGTTCTTTTATTTCTTTAACTCTATTATGGGAGGACAAAGGCCAGCTTGAGCCTGCAGAGGCCAGGGTTGGTCCACAGCCAGTTCCTTCACTGTTCCCAGAGTTTTCCCTGACTATTCTATGTGGTTGTAAACCTCCCTGGGTCAGTGAAGGAAGGCAAACCCTGAGCCAAGGAGCCCCACAGTCAGAAAATAATTCAGACTCAAGGTCGTGAGAGAAGTCACAGAGAATATGGACATGGAGAAAATGATTTATTTGCATTCTTATGGGCTTCTTTGGAACGATTTATGCTTTTATAAGTGTCTCTCAGTTACATCTTTATAACATATTGTTGCCATGGGGCTGCTTATCATCTTATGTTTGCATAAAAACTATATTTTAGGCTTTAGCTGTGCCTCTGAGGTTCCTGCTTTCTGTTGCACAACATGAAGGCTTTCAGGCGATAACTTTCACTCTCACAGTGCTTGTTCTGCTCAGACATAAACAAACACAGACATTGACATGCTCCCAAAACTGCCATGAGGCCAGACAGGCTCATGGAAAAAGAGAAATGCAAAGTGGATAACTCTCCATCAGATAACATCAGTATGATATTTTAAGAACACATCAAACACATTGATTAGATCAGTAATGCAGGCTGAAAGAGCTGAAGTGTGCGTGAGCAGAAGCATTTTAGCATCAACTTGTTTTGAAGTCTCAACCATCAGTGGGTTATTTAGTCTCCTACCTGTAAATCGACTATTCACAAAACCCGGCCCTGAAACAGTGATTGTCCAATCCAACCAATCATTTTGTTGTTAACAAAAACTCATATGACAGAAACTACTTTTATTTATTTCAACATTATGTCTTTGCGTGTGTTGTTTCAGGCATGTCGCCCACAGTTGATGGCTTCTAATGTGCACAAGCATCCATTTATAAGAGACGGAGTGTGGTTTCCAGACAGCGTTAAGGCTTCATTTAGTAGATAGTTAACAGGGGCCTGGCTGGTGTGCTAAAAAGGAGGGCCAGTAGAAACACACATAGGAGTTTAGATGAATGAACAGATGGGTGGAGATGAAACAGAACAAGTAGAGCTGGAATGGAGACAACTTCTCAGCCAGCAGCTAATGGTTCATATACAAACACACACACACGCGCACGCGCACACACGCATAAACATGTCCAGAAGAACACACACAGACACAAAACTCCCACACATTCACCCAACACACACCTCATGCTGCGCAGCACCCAGAGCGGATAAAGTCAGGAGTCCTTTTATGGGCGTTGAAAACAAAGGATTGAAATGAGTTGGAGGCGAAAGCACTGTTATGATGCGATATGCTGAGCCAGGAAAAGACCGTCTGTACCGCCCCCCCCCCCCCTTCCTTTAACCCCCCCTTCATGCTGCAGGCTAACGTTATTAATGTATTGACTTGCATTATTGATGCATGACATTATGATAATGGCTCTGAGAGTACTCGTGGGGAGAAAGGGGGGTGAGGGTAGAGTGTGTATGTCTGTTTGATGAGAGGGAGGGTGATGCAGGAGATAATGGGGTGAAGGGTGGGAATGGGGGGGGGGGGGGGGGGTAACAGTGTGTGACTGGACTGGACGATAGGTTGTCCACTTCCATAATGACATAATGGAACAAAAATGTAAAGGACCCACATTGGACCACCAATTTGGGACAGATTCATCTCAAATGACAGTCTCTGCTTTCTTTGTCTCTGCGTCTGTGTCTCAGGGTCTATCTGTCCTCCATCTCTGTTTTAATCTCTGCATCATCAGAGCGTTTGCCGTGGTTGGTGGGCCAGTGACGCAGACCGAAAACTTGATATGCCATGTCACACAACCCCCCCAGTCTCCTACCACACACAGTTTTGTTTAGTTTGAGCTGAAATAATATGAATAAATGCCCCAAATTCTCTGGTCCCAGTTTCTAAAATGTGAACATTTGCTGTTTATCCGAGAACTCTATGATAATTTATTGAATATCACTTCAGGTTTCAAAACATTGTAATGGACATTTTTCACAAATTTCTGACAAATTATAGACACAACAGTTAGTTGAGGAAAGAATAAACAGAATCAAAATGAAAACATTATAGTTGCAGCACTAGTTTAGTTTAAGTTAAGGAATCTCGACAGAACAACTGAGAAAAGATCTGGAGCTTTTAATGTAGCAGCAAACTATTTTGACTCGAAGCACGTCTTGATCAGCCTGTTTAGTTTAGTTTACTTTAGTGTTGCAACAAACAATTAATGTCATTGTCACAAATTAATCTGCCAATTACTGTCTGGATTAATCAATTCAAAGTTCGGTCTGTAGATTGAAAAAAACAGTGAAAATTCCCATCACAAATTCTTAACTCCTAAGATGATGGTATCATATTGCTTGTTTTGTCCGACCAACACTTTGAGAACAAAGATATTAATTTTATTATCACAGAAGACAAAGAAAAGCAGAAAAAATCCTCAAAAGTAAGAAGGGGGAACTAGAGAATTGTGGCATTTTTGCTGAAAAAATTGTCAACACAGTTGCAGACAATTTTATTCTATCTTCCACCTCCCCCCATCTTTCTCTCTCTCTCACACACACACACACACACACACACACGCTGCTCTTACAAATAGGTCTGTTGCATTATTTAGTGTGTTTTCCAGTTCTCTATCCAGACGAAATACAATTCCATAAAACATGCAATATTGATTGCGTCCCTTGCAGCCATATCTGTCAGGTATACAAAGCATTTATGAAACATATGTGATGTATGTAAGTTCATCATCTAAAGAAATCCTTTTAAAAATATGTTTTTAAACACGTTTTCTTCAGAATCTTTTATCGTCCAAACTAGCAATTAAGTTGTTTCATATCCACCAGGGGAGATGGGTATAAAACAGAAATCCTGTGACAGTGTGACTTTGGAAAGCTGACTCCAAATGTATTAACAGAAACGAGCCCTTCCCAGGTTGATAAATAACAGTTGCACTTTATGACACACATTTAATACAACAACTGTTAAGGTGATTTAAAGCGGAGGTTCTCAATTGTTTTTAAGCTAAGGGCACCTTACAAGATAGAGAACATACCAGGGACCTTGGAATAATTTGACGTAGGCTATATTTTACACTTCTATAGTCTTAGTTGTGAGTAAGAGCAACACAAAATAAATATATTAGAAAGATATTAGCTATGTATTAAACACATTTGTACCATATCAACACAGAATACCCATAAAACAATGCAGCTGACATCAATTCAATTAGCTGGGAGTAACACTGTACCTAAACAAAGTATCAAAGGCAAATCAAGAGAAAGGGATCATTCAAAGTGCATTTCAGAACACACACACACACACACACACACACACACACACACACACACACACA